AACCCCATGGGCACCCCCACAGCTAACACAACTTTCTCCACCAATACTACACATTACTTTGTCTCATGCCCTCCTGCACACTTCTCACATCTAGGAATCTCCCTCCTACACACTGCTGCAACATGCCCATAAACTTGACACCTAAAACACCGTAGTATTTTCGGAACAAAAGCTCTCATGGGATAACTTACACTTCCTAACTTCACCTTGTCGGGCAAAGACTCTACATCAAAACTCAGCAGGACAGACAATGTCTTCTCCGTTTCCCCATGCTCTCCACCGGATCTGCGTCGCACCAAACGGCATAAATCACAGACATTGGGAATCTTCCATTTCCACTGATCCTCCTCAACACTTAATGTCACCACCGTTATCACTCCTTTCAACAACGCCCTGCTCCGGAGAGCAAAGCAAGTCACATTTATTGTCCCTAATCGCGTGATGCGGAGCGTCCTCTCCCTCTGGACTGAAGAAACACAATAAATCATCACTTATCCACTCCAAGTTACTCTCACCAACTCAACAGTCCCCAACCTGACATCACATATGGATCTGCCAAAATGCAAGGATCCATTCTCTCCACAAACCTCACTCCCACTGGACCAGAAACATCCTTTTCATCCTGGAGATGAGGCCCGAACTCGGCGGTCCTCTCCGCAGGTACTACATCCAAACTCTCGTCATGTTCCATCTCTGAGCTACTAGATCACGTATCCCTCTTTTTTCACTTGACGCCAACTCTCCTCACCACACCGCTTCCCTCTACACTCAGCTCCTTCTCGGCGGTCATCACTGCACCTGCCACCACAATGAATTCACACTCACTCGTCACATTCCGTTTCCTTCTCTAGCTCTTCCAAAAGTTCTGTGCGATCCTCCATTCCATATTCCATCAAAACATATTCCACTTTTCTTATTTTTTCCTTATCCACCATCTTCTCCAGATCTTCACCAGATCTTCCAGAAGGCTTTTGCAATCCCCCACTCCATATTTATTCATAATATGTTCTACTTTCTTCCTTTTTTCCTTGTCCGCCATTCACAGGAAGTGATGTCTAAGCAAACGGTACGTCCGTCACCAGGTATTCCTTCTTCTTCTTCTTCGTGTGAATTTCCAGTAGACTAGACACTTTTTGTTGTATTGCTGCCTTTCTCAGTGCGGAATGTGCATTCCACATTGTGACAAAACAAAACAAATTAAGGGAAACGGGGAATGGGAAAAACTTAAATCGCACCACCATCTAACCCTGCACCTATACACTATCCCCAAAAACTCACCTACACATCCCACCCTAAACGATCCTACACCAGGCCGTTGGCCTGGGAGGATGTAACCCCTTCTCTCAAAACTGCTGTAGATCTTCTGCACTAAATTCTCTCACACATCAATATTTATCTGCTGCTGCAACTACCACATCTATCTTCTGTGATTTCCGCTCCATCAGTGCAGTGTAGTTGATCACCAACCTTACTAAAACTCATCCTCTCTGTCTCTCTCTCTTCAGGCCTACTCACTGGGGGGCTCCCAGTCGCCTCACTCACCCTTGGGCTATCCTCTACTCTCTCCACTGCCTCAGCATAGGAAACTTTCTGCCCCACTCGACCTGTCTCTCTCTCACAGGGCACTTCGTATCCCCAAGTGCATGTGCCTTTCAGTTGACACACAGTGCTTTCTCTATCCCAATTGTACACTCCCTCTGACTTTGCCCTCTTGCAAATTTCTTACATCGTGGGATCTCCCTTCTACACACTGCTGCAACATGTCTGCATCCTTGGCACCTAAAGCACCGAAGCGGGTTCGGAACATAGGCCCTCACAGAATAGCAAATATAACCTAACCTGACCTTATCAGGAAGAACTTATGTGTCAAAGCTCAACTAGACAGGGTATTCTCAGTTTAGAAATTGCCACCAGGTCTATGTCTCACCAAGCGGTGGGCGTCACAAACACTAGGAATATTCCTTTTCATTTGATCCACCTCTACATTCAACGCTACCCCACTGATCACCCCTTTTAGCGGCGCCCTGCTCCGGAGAGCAAAGCACACCACAGGTTGAGCCCCAAGCCGCGTGACTCGAAGCGCCCACTTCCTCTGGGAGGCGTATACACAAAAAATCTAAACAATTCCACTTCTCCAAACTTTCACAGATGTAACCATTCCCAGTTTGTCCTTTACCCAGCCTGACACAATGTATGGGTAAGCCAAAAAGCAGGAATCCACTCTTTTAAAAATTCTCACTCCTACCGGTCCAAAATCCTCTCTGGTAGGATTCTCAGGGAAAACAGTGGAAGTATCCAATAAACCTGTCCCCGCAGGTAGGCTCGCTTCATCCTGGACTGACTCAACCTCAGAGTACTCACCACTGCCGTCTGACTCCATTTCGTGATCATCAAGGTTCTCAAGAGAGCATGAAGACCTTTAAGTCTTATTACTTGGTGTAAACTCAGGAGATTCATCTCTGATCTTAACAGCACCATTCTTGCGCTTTCGCGTCATCGCACCTCCTGGTTCGTCTGTGTTTCAGTCTCCAGCTAACCTTGTTGAAAGACCACCAGGTATTCCACCAATGGGTATTCATTATAAGTTTTACAATTTACATACTGCAAAAAACACAGACATACTGTACAGTATAGCTATAATATAGCATATAGCAGCCTCAAACATAAGTTTAAATTGTATTTATTCACATAGAAACAGACTTTCAAAGACAGATATAGACAGAGAAATGCAGTGTGTATTCTTTGGTAGCATATCACTAACATGAAGATATACTGTACTCACTGTTAACTTCTCCCTGTCAGCTTTCTTTATCATACCAAACACATACATTTTTCTTTCTATCATATTACATTTAGAAGATATTCTGAAAATATATTATTCTGCTGTAAATCCACTGGGGTTGTGCCATGCCCCTGCTTCCGTTGGCTGGCTGGGACAAAAGACCGACCGTCCCCAATGTGCAGGAAGAGGCCCTCAAGCCTTGATTCAGTTTCCTTTCCTGTTTTGGTTCCCCTCTCCACCCCGACCCCGCTAAGTCTTTCCTGTCTCTATCTAAATCCCTTTGTTAACAAGCTCCTGTCCGGTCCTGATTCACTTAATCTGACGCCATAGAGCAAACACATATTCTGTTTGTGCCGCACAATTGTCCTTTTCTCTCTCGCTGTCTCTTTAACAGGCTTTACACAAGGTGATGGTTGCATGTTACAGAAATTCTTTGAGTTGAAAAAGGCACAACGTATATTTGAGAAAATAATTCATAATTGTGGAGTAAGTAACTGTGAAATTATGTAATTAAAGAGTTTACAAATATACAAAATATCCCATTAATTTCAATGTTGACTGAAAAGTCATTATAAAAGTATAAAACGTCTGACATACTGTACCAGTCAAAGGTTTGGACACACCTACTCATTCAAGGGTTTTTCTTTATTTTTACTATTTTCTACATTGTAGAATAATAGTGAAGACATCAAAACCATGTAGTAACCAAAAAAGTGTTAAACAAATCAAAATATATTTTATATTTGAGATTCTTCAAACAGCCACCCTTTGCCTTGATGACAGCTTTGCACACTCTTGGCATTCTCTCAACCAGCTTCACCTGTAATGCTTTTCCAACAGTCTTGAAGGAATTCCCACACATGCTTAGCACTTGTTGGCTGCTTTTCCTTCACTCTGCCGTCCGACTCATCCCAAACCATCTCAATTGGGTTGAGGTCGGGGGATTGTGGAGGCCAGGTCATCTGATGCAGCACTCCATCACTCTCCTTCTTGGTAAAATAGCCCTTACACAGCCTGGAGGTGTGTTGGGTCATTGTCCTGTTACAAATGAAAGTCCCATTAAGCCCGAACCAGATGGGATGGCGTATCGCTGCAGAATGCTGTGGTAGCCATGCTGGTTAAGTTAAGTGAAATAAATCACAGACAGAGTCACCAGCAAAGCACCTCCACACCATAACACCTCCTTCTCCATGCTTTACGGTGGGAAGTATTCATGCACAAAGACACAGCGGTTTGAACCAAAAATCTCAAATTTGGACTCCAGACCAAAGGACACATTTCCACTGGTCTAAAGTCCATTGCTTGTGTTTCTTGGCCCAAGCAGGTCTCTTCTTATTATTGGTGTCCTTTAGTAGTGGTTTCTTTGCAGCAATTCGACCATGGAGGCCTGATTCACGTAGTCTCCTCTGAACAGTTGATGTTGAGGTGTCTGTTACTTGAACTCTGTGAAGCATTTATTTGGGCTGCAATTTCTGAGGCTGGTAACTGTAATGAATTTTTCCTCTGCAGCAGAGGTAACTCTGGGTCTTCCATTCCTGTGGTGGTCCTCATGAGAGCCAGTTTCATCATAGCACTTGATGGTTTTTGCGACTGCACTTGAAGAAACGTTCAAAGTTCTTGACATTTTCCGTCTTGATTGACCTTCATGTCTTAAAGTAATGATGGACTGTCGTTTCTCTTTGCTTATTTGAGCTGTTCTTGCCATAATATGGACTTGGTCTTTTACCAAATAGGGCTATTTTGATTTGTTTAACACTTATTTGGTTACTACATGATTCCATGTGTTATTTCATAATTTTGATGTCTTCACTGTTATTCTACAATGTAAAAAATAGTAAAAATAAAGAAAAACCCTTGAATGAGTAGGTGTGTCCAAACTTTTGATGGTAGTGTAGATATATATCCTAATCATATCAACCTTCTGTCACATAAATGTAATTACAAATGCATCAATGTGCTTCCTACAAAGTTCCTATTAAGTAACTATAAAAAATATATACCATTTATGACATCTTATATACATGCAAAACCTTGCAATAAGAATCAAAGTATTTTTATCAGTATTCTACAACAGGATATTTAAATTCTATAATTTCATAATGTAGAGATATCTCTCAATTGAGGGTTTTCAGTGCTGGTTTATGTTGAGGCCCTTGGGGCCACAGCGTTAGAGTCAGTGAACATTAAGAAGGATTACAGATCAATGTGATTGGTCCTCTCAGCCCCTGTCCCTGCCCGCATGGAACTCTGGGACGAGGGTAGCAGCGGCAGTGAGTGGGGTGGAATAGCCTGCTGCCATACTGTGAAGACCAAGCATCAAACACTTCCAGCTGTAGCGAAGGGCCTTGCCGACATTCTGAAAGACAGAGGACACACACAGAGAGCAAAGTCAATAAACGGATTATCAATTAACAACCATCATCAGCAATACAAACCTAATCATCATTAAATGACTCATCCTATCTGCAGATGGAACATTCAGTAGGCTGCTGTAAGTGTGAGGATGATTTTACAACTCATCAACAGATCTTGAGGACAGAACTAGGTCAAGAATAAGGGATTACATTTTTAAACACATCCTCAGACCGAAATAGGTAGAACCAATCTTCTCCATACTCAGACAATGGTTGCCCAGCACAGCAGAGGGAAATCACTGCGTCCTTTTTACTCGTCTAACTAAAATAAGCAGTGATCCCTGTGTTGAACAATAGGGTTCCATGTTTAGTGTTCAGGAAAGGGCTGGCCTGTGTCTGAACTGGCTGCATCAGGGGACGTTCAAAAATACCAAAACGTTTCCCAACCTGTAGTCTTAAAATGTATCACTATCAAGGCCGCAAATAAAACTTCGAAACACCCCTGTCACCTGCGGACAGTAGCAACTGAGGGAGAGACTGTAGCATTGATATTAGATGGTTATGTTTACAGTGAATTCATGGAGGCATGTAGCAGCAATGTGATTTTTAACATGATTCGATTATCTTGGTATTTATAGAAGGCAATCACACTTTTATGGATTACTTGTTTCCAAGAAGGTGTCTTACACTCAGGCCTCCTCACATTTTACTACCTAGATCCAACATGATTTAAAGCCCAGTCAATAAAACCATAACTTACTTTATCTTTATGGCTATTCATAGACATTTTTACAGGTAGTGTCCATACATATATATATACAGTAAATAAGGAAGCTTGACAGCAATCAATATAACAGTTATAATATCTTTATACACAACACACACCACAGCATGTGAGTGGGTTGTAAAATAAGAACTTTCTAAACAAAGCCAAGACAGATAAGGAAGAAATGACATGTGACTAAATGCCATCAATCAGTTGGAAGGACCATAACAAACCCCAAACAAAGTACAGGAATAACCAAATGTACGGTTATTATTGTCACTTACTGCACCATAATAACCCTCCATTTAGTTATTTCTGTGCTTTGTATTGGGTTTGTTATGGTCCTTCCAACTGATGGCATTTAGTCAGCCCTACATTTGGTTATTATTACTGTACTTTGCATGGGGTATGTTATTATTATTAATAGCCAACAGGCTACCCATATCCATGACCCTTCCAAATGAAGTTGAGAATCCCTCACCACAATGACAGAGAATCCATTCAGAACCAGGTGACGTGGATGAGGGTTCAATGACTCTTTGGCGGCGTTTGCCGCAACATTCGTTGCCAATATCTAATGCTTATCCTATAGTGACACATCACAGAGGCTTGAGAGGGGAAACTACCATGAAGCTTTAGGGATCCAGCTGGATCAGATTTAGTAAATCAATGAGGCTTAGTCTGGGCTTCGTAATTGACCAGTGAATGTCTGAGCCCCCCGGACAGTTGGGCCACCAAGCCCATGGGATAGATATTGCAAGATAGACAACCCCACGAGAGTGTTGACCTGCTCACCTTGGAGAGACTATGCTGCCACACATTTTAATTCACAGGCAATAAAGATAAAACACAGGTAAAAAACCTAGGTGTTATTTTAGATTCTGAACTAAATTTCGAATCACACATTAGGAATGTGGCCAAATTAGCTTTTTACCACCTTAGGAACATTGCCAAGGTGTGTCAGTTTCTCTCTCAGGCTAATACAGGCTTGACTATTGTAATGTTCTCCTGTCTGGTCTTACCAAGAAAGCCATTGGTCAACTGCAAAACATACAGAATGCTGCAGTACGGGTACTGACCAAGACCAGATGGAGAGCACACATTACACCGCTTTTAAGGTCACTGCACTGGCTGCCTGTGAGTTTTAGAATACATTTTAAGATTATTCTATTGGTTTTTAAATCAATCCATGATTGTGCACCCCAATACATGTCAGACATGCTTTTAAGTTATGTACCAAGTAGGTCCCTCAGGTCCTCTGGCACTGGCCTTTTAACTATCCCAAAGCTGAGGACCAAGAGGCCTGGAGAGACAGCCTTTAGTTATTATGCCCCCAGCCTCTGGAATAACCTGCTAGAGAACCTGAGAGGGACTGAAACTGTGGACATATTTAAAAGAGAACTTAAACACATCTTTTTAGCTTTGCTTTTCCTCAGGGTGCTTTTTAGTTGTTCAGTTTGTGTCATTCTTTTGTTTTTTATCTTATGTTTGTTGTGTAGTAAATATTTCAGCTTTTATTTTCATTGTTTTTTTGTTCTATTTTTCCTGTAAAGCACATTGCGTTGCATTCCATGTCTGAAATGTGCTGTATAAATAAAGCTTGATTTGATTTGATTTAGAACCTACTACAGCCACAACAACAACAGTGAAACCGCAAACACGATTCATATGGAAATGGTTTTAAGAGCTATATTCTTCATTTCTAAAGATAGTGGACAAGAGTGCTATGATCTAAGTTGTTTTACTTGAGTTTCTTGACAGGAAAGATTCGACTTCTGCCTTGATACTTTTTTTTGTCAAAGAACTGCACCATGACTGTCTTTTATGTTTTATGTTATGGTTTAGATATTCCCCTTTGACCCCAAACACACTGTATCTAGGACAGTGGAACAGACAAACACAGGGAGAGGTCTTAAAACAATCTCAATCTGGAGAGAAGCCAAGCAAATGGATTGTGGCAAGATAGGAAGATACAATCAGTCACTGTTGATATATTTATTACATCATTCAACTTGTACTTCATATTGTGTCACATTTTAACACAATACAGGTGGTTTAACAGTAACACAATCAGTGTTGAAATCAAACAGTAAGAAACAAAGTGTTAATGTGAGGTGCTGATTAGAAAACACAGCAATCTGAGAAAAGTCAATCACAATAGATTGGTTCATAATACCAATTTCTTTCATGAAAAGCCTCTATATTGTAGTCCTATTTCACAATGATCTTTCAGTTCTATGGTTTGTGATTCTTATTATTGATTTTACATCATTCAGTCATATGATGAATATCAGGTAATTTGATGCAAGTTTGATGGATTGATGCCATATCGTGATAATTGTATTTTTTAAAAATTTTTGTATCACGATAATGAGATTGATTATGATATTGCCTTGAACTTACCCATATTATCTGCAACTATTACATACTGTGTGGGAAATTAAGGGATACAGTGCAGGGAATTCTCGAGTTGAAAGTATCTGAAAATGTAACATTGATTTTATTGTCTTTTTTCTATTGACAATAGAAACATGTTATGATTATGAACAACTGAAGGTTGTTATAACAGTGTCATTATAACAAAACTGAATACATTTGACTTTCAAAGGTTAAGTGCATCATAATGGTTAGTTAATAATTAATAAGCATTGAAAAAAACGGTGGTTAAAGTTAATAATTGAAGGGGGGGGGGAAACAAGGCTTATTCTTTATAAACATAACAGCACAGAAAGATAGATGCAGCAGTAACGTTTTTCGCAAATACTACCTTCTTGACTTTCTTGTATTTTTGTTTCTTCTTGTTTTTCTTTTCTTCTTTCGCTCTTTGCCTTCCTTCATCCTCTTCGACTAGGGGCTCGTACCTCTCCGGTAAAAAGGCGAAATGGATCTCACTGGCGCACTTCTCTTTCTTTCTCCCCCCATCCTCTACCTGGGGTCTGGGGGTATCATTTGGTGCAGTGGTCTCATGACGGTCCGACCGGTCCGAACAGTCTACCTGCCGGTGATACCTAGATACTCTCTCCGCTTGCCTCTCACCTAAGGACTCAGTATGATCAAATAACCTCAATACGAGAGATTTGGGCTTCATTGTTGTCTCTCAGGTGGTAATTGGCGTTGTTCTTTGTTGCAGTCGTGGTAGAATTAAATCTGCCACTTGCTGCAATGTTGTCAACAGAAGTTATGTGCTTGAATGGGCGTGCATTCCATTGGACTGCTGGCACGCTGCCCTTAAAGATGTAGTCAGACTGGTTTGTGCGGGAAGTTGTGTTGCACACACAGATTATTTGTCTTTAGCCTGCTAATTCATTGCAACAGAACCGCAGATTTATCTGCAATATAGGCCTAAATTGTGTTAAAAAGCAGTACCCATAGCCATAGTGAAATGAGACATGAATATAACGGGCCCATAATGAAGGAAATGGGCCTCTGAGGTCCCTGCCTGCCCTGCTACAACGCAATGCCGCCCTCTATCGGGTGCTTGTAGAAGTAGGTTCAGGTGCATTTCTAGACACTGATCCAGAGTCAGTTTGCGTTTTAATGACAAGAGGTGAAATGTTGTAGAAATATGACCCCAGTGTTAAAGCAATGATCTAGATTTTATTAGAGCCTGGTTGACGCGTAACCCACGTGACTACACAATGGGCTGGACATCGAGAGCTGGCGTCATCTCTAGAAAAAGTGAACTCAAGCCTCAGGAGCAAGGACAGCGCAGAGGCCACAACAATACGCATTTCATTCAGGTAGGATATTTATTATTGCAGATTGCTTTAATTATTAGGCCTTGTAGTTTTTTAAAAGATATGATCGATGTTTTCTATTGCAGAATTAACATGGGAAAGAACATGTCAGACAAATAAAAGTAGTGTAGTTCTTTCATGGAGGGTGTTTTTTTTTAATGAATGTACCTATAGTCCGTTCAAGAGAATTACGTGAACGATTTATGCAAGTAATCAAGTCCACATTAACAGTGAGAGCTCATAAACAAAATAAATCAGTACTTACATTATTATATATTTTTCTACAGCAGTATCAGATGTGGGTATTATGCCTATTTTCATTTACAGATGTGGCAAAAATAAATCTTTTCTGGATTTGATCTGTAACACACAATTAATATAAACACAAACATCATAACTTTAAATAAAGATTCTCAAAGTTTGTATTTTATGCGCTGTGTAAATTCCTAAAAAGCAGTCCTTATTCTACTTGAGAGGGACTTCAAGGGCTCAATCGATCATGACTTACTTCCAAATACTGTCCATAGAGAGAAACTTTTACCCTGGCCAGTATTTTAATGCAGTCTCTTCTTTATGTTTTTGCAGGAGCTTTCAAAAGAACGACGGATACAGTAGCATTCCTGAATGACTATGACCCAAGGCCTCTAACAATATTTATTTCACAGACATTTTAAATTTAGTCCGAAAAAAACGATTCAAAACAAAATATGTCTGTTCTGGACTTATTTTCACTAAGTGGCACGTCCGTTCTGTTTATTACGCTGAATTTAATCGTCCTCCTTTTCATCATTAATCAAAACAAAAACCCTAAGAACTTTCCTCCAGGCCCCAGAGGTCTACCGCTGGTTGGGAACATCTTCAACCTGGACCTGAAGAGACCCTACCAGACCTTGATGGAGGTAAGAACCCCTCTATAAAGACCCTGCCAGACCTTGATGGAGGTAAGAATCCCTCTATAAAGACCCTATCAGACCTTGATGGAGGTAAGAACCCCTCTATAAAGACCCTACCAGACCTTGATGGAGGTAAGAACCCCTCTATAAAGATCCTATCAGACCTAGATGGAGGTAAGAACCCCTTTATAAAGACCCTGTCAACCATGATGGAGGTAAGAACCCCTCTATAAAGACCCTACCAGACCTAGATGTAGGTAAGAACCCCTCTGGGAAAAAAAACTATTATTGCCTCTGTTCACCCTGTTTGACATGACAATGGCTATAGTATACAGTGGGGGGGGGAAGTATTTAGTCAGCCACCAATTGTGCAAGTTCTCCCACTTAAAAAGATGAGAGAGGCCTGTAATTTTCATCATAGGTACACGTCAACTATGACAGACAAATTGAGAATTTTTTTCTCCAGAGAATCACATTGTAGGATTTATTATGAATTTATTTGCAAATTATGGTGGAAAATAAGTATTTGGTCACCTACAAACAAGCAAGATTTCTGGCTCTCACAGACCTGTAACTTCTTCTTTAAGAGGCTCCTCTGTCCTCCACTTGTTACCTGTATTAATGGCACCCGTTTGAACTTGTTATCAGTATCAAAGACACCTGTCCACAACCTCAAACAGTCACACTCCAAACTCCACTATGGCCAAGACCAAAGAGCTGTCAAAGGACACGAGAAACAAAATTGTAGACCTGCAGCAGGCTGGGAAGACTGAATCTGCAATAGGTAAGCAGCTTGGTTTGAAGAAATCAACTGTGGGAGCAATTATTAGGAAATGGAAGACATACAAGACCACTGATAATCTCCCTCGATCTGGGGCTCCACGCAAGATCTCACCCGTGGGGTCAAAATGAACACAAGAACGGTGAGCAAAAATCCCAGAACCACACGGGGGGACCTAGTGAATGACCTGCAGAGAGCTGGGACCAAAGTAACAAAGCCTACCATCAGTAACACACTACGCCGCCAGGGACTCAAATCCTGCAGTGCCAGACGTGTCCCCCTGCTTAAGCCAGTACATGTCCAGGCCCGTCTGAAGTTTGCTAGAGTGCATTTGGATGATCCAGAAGAGGATTGGGAGAATGTCATATGGTCAGATGAAACCAAAATATAACTTTTTGGTAAAAACTCAACTCGTCGTGTTTGGAGGACAAAGAATGCTGAGTTGCATCCAAAGAACACCATACCTACTGTGAAGCATGGGGGTGGAAACATCATGCTTTGGGGCTGTTTTTCTGCAAAGGGACCAGGACGACTGATCCGTGTAAAGGAAAGAATGAATGGGGCCATGTATCGTGAGATTTTGAGTGAAAACCTCCTTCCATCAGCAAGGGCATTGAAGATGAAACGTGGCTGGGTCTTTCAGCATGACAATGATCCCAAACACACCGCCCAGGCAACGAAGGAGTGGCTTCGTAAGAAGCATTTCAAGGTCCTGGAGTGGCCTAGCCAGTCTCCAGATCTCAATCCCATAGAAAATCTTTGGAGGGAGTTGAAAGTCCGTGTTGCCCAGCGACAGCCCCAAAACATCACTGCTCTATGTATTTAGATTGTAGGTAGGTATTGTAGTCTGGTATTATAGGCAGCTTACTCCGGTAGTTATTGTAGGTTATTATTGTAGGTTATTATTGTAGGTAATTATTGTAGGTAAGGATTCTATTCGGCGGAGCCCAGGCGAAGCACGAGGCTAGCTTGCCCACTACCTGGACCAACAAAGCTAGCTAGCTAGAGGGTAGCTATCGGTAACTTTTAGCAACTGTGGTTAGCTGTTTCCAATGTTATTTCATGCTTGAGAGTACCTGTGATTGAGCCAGCTAGCTGCTACCATTCAGCTGTTTTTCTAACCTCATCCGAGGCATTAACGTTAGGTGGTTGGTAGCTGCTGTACTTAATTACAGCTACTGATAACAGTCTGCTGTAGTTTACAACAATTCTAATTTCTAGAGTGGAAGTTGGGAGAGTTTTATTCGGGTGGTTCAGTGAAACAATCATAGTTTCTGAGGTGGAAGTTGGGTGAGTTATATATTTATTAATTTTTTGGTGAGGGAGACCTGCACTCTCCTTTTCCTGATGTTCAGTGCATTTCATCCCGATCTCCTCTGCATTATTGTAGCCATCTGTTGCAGCCTGTCAACTATGCCTCTGCCTATCCCTGTTCTCTCCTCTCCGCACAGGCTACACAAACACCCCACACCGCGTGGCTGCTGCCTCTCTAACCTGGTGGTCCCTACACGCACCACACACCTGGAGTTCCAGGTCTCAGGCAGCCTCTGGAACTGCCGTTCTGCTGCCAACAAAGCTGACTTCATCCCAGCCTATGCTAATCTCCAGTCCCTCGACTTCCTGGCGCTGACGGAAACATGGATTACCACTGAAAACACTGCTACTCCTACTGCTCTCTCCTCATCTGACCATGTGTTCTCGCATACCCCGAGAGCATCTGGTCAGAGGGGTGGTGGCACAGGAATCCTCATCTCTCCCAAGTGGACATTCTCAATTTTTCCCCTAACCCATCTGTCTATCTCCTCATTTGAATTCCATGCTGTCACTAGCCCATTTAAGCTTAATATCCTTGTCATCTATCGCCCTCCAGGTTCCCTTGGAGAGTTCATCAATGAGCTTGACGCCTTGATAAGTTCCTTTCCTGAGGATGGCTCACCCCTCACAGTTTTGGGGGATTTCAACCTCCCTATGTCCACATTTGACTCATTTCTCTCTGCCTCCTTCTTTCCACTTCTCTCCTCTTTTGACCTCACCCTCTCACCGTCCCCCCCTACTCACAAGGCAGGCAATACGCTTGACCTCATCTTTACTAGATGCTGCTCTTCTACTAATCTCACTGCAACTCCCCTCCATGTCTCCGACCACTACTTTGTTTCCTTTTCTCTCTCGCTCTCCTCCCACACTACTCACTCTGCCCCTACACAGATGGTAATGCGCCGCCGCAACCTTCGCTCTCTCTCTCCCACTACTCTCTCCTCTTCCATCCTATCATCTCTTCCCTCTGCTCAATCCTTCTCCCTCCAATCTCCTGATTCTGCCTCCTCAACCCTCCTCTCCTCCCTTTCTGCATCCTTTGACTCTCTGTGTCCCCTATCCTCCCGGCCGGCTCGGTCCTCCCCTCCAGCTCCGTGGCTTGATGACTCATTGCGAGCTCACAGAACAGAGCTCCGGGCAGCGGAGCGGAAATGGAAGAAAACTAAACTCCCTGCCGACCTGGCATCTTTTCACTCCCTCCTCTCTACATTTTCTTCATCTGTTTCCGCTGCTAAGGCCACTTTCTACCACTCTAAATTCCAAGCATCTGCCTCTAACCCTAGGAAGCTCTTTGCCACATTTTCCTCCCTCCTGAATCCTCCCCCCCCCCCCCCCCGCCCCCCCCCTCCTCTCTCTCTGTGGATGACTTCGTCAACCACTTTGAAAAGAAGGTTGACGACATTCGATCCTCGTTTGTTAAGTCTAATGACACTGCTGGTCCTACTCACACTGCCCTACCCTATGCTTTGACTTCTTTCTCCCCTCTCTCCCCAGATAAAATCCTGCGACTTGTGACTGCAGGCCGCCCAACAACCTGCCCGCTTGACCCCATCCCCTCCTCTCTTCTCCAGACCATCTCCGGTGACCTTCTCCCCTACCTCACTTCGCTGATCAACTCATCCTTGACCGCTGGCCATGTCCCTTCCGTCTTCAAGAGAGCGAGAGTTGCTCCCCTTCTCAAGAAACCAACACTCGATCCCACTGATGTCAACAACTACAGACCAGTATCCCTTCTTTCTTTTCTTTCCAAAACTATTGAGCGTGCCGTCTTTAGCCAACTCTCTTGCTATCTCTCTCAGAATGACCTTCTTGATCCAAACCAGTCAGGTTTCAGGACTGGTCATTCAACTGAGACTGCTCTTCTATGTGTCACAGAGGCTCTCCGCACTGCTAAAGCTAACTCTCTCTCCTCTGCTCTTGTCCTTCTAGACCTGTCTGCTGCCTTTGATACTGTGAACCATCAGATCCTCCTCTCCACCCTCTCCGAGCTGGGCATCTCCGGCGCGGCTCACTCCTGGATTGCGTCCTACCTGACCGGTCGCTCCTACCAAGTGGCGTGGCGAGAAGCTGTCTCCGCACCACGTGCTCTCACCACTGGTGTCCCCCAGGGCTCAGTTCTAGGCCCTCTCCTTTTCTCCCTATACACCAAGTCACTTGGCTCTGTCATATCCTCACATGGCCTCTCCTATCATTGCTACGCTGACGATACACAACTAATCTTCTCCTTTCCCCCTTCTGATAACCAGGTGGCGAATCGCATCTCTGCATGTCTGGCAGACATATCAGTATGGATGACGGATCACCACCTCAAGCTGAACCCTGGCAAGACGGAGCTGCTCTTCCTCCCGGGGAAGGACTGCCCGTTCCATGATCTCGCCATCACGGTTGACAACTCCGCTGTGTCCTCCTCCCATAGTGCGAAGAGCCTAGGCGTGACCCTGGACAACACCCTGTCGTTCTCCGCCAACATCAAGGCGGTGACCCGCTCCTGCAGGTTCATGCTCTACAACATTCGGAGAGTACGACCCTGCCTTACACAGGAAGCGGCACAGGTCCTAATCCAGGCACTTGTCATCTCCCGTCTGGACTACTGCAACTCGCTGTTGGCTGGCCTCCCTGCCTGTGCCATTAAACCCCTACAACTCATCCAGAATGCCGCAGCCCGTCTGGTGTTCAACCTTCCCAAGTTCTCTCACGTCACCCCCCTCCTCCGCACACTCCACTGGCTTCCAGTTGAAGCTCGCATCCGCTACAAGACCATGGTGCTTGCCTATGGAGCAGTGAGGGGAACGGCACCTCTGTACCTTCGGGCTCTGATCAGTCCCTACACCCAAACGAGGGCATTGCGTTCATCCACCTCTGGCCTGCTGGCTCCCCTTCCTCTGCGGAAGCATAGTTCCCGCTCAGCCCAGTCAAAACTGTTCGCTGCTCTGGCACCCCAATGGTGGAACAAGCTCCCTCACGACGCCAGGACAGCGGAGTCACTCACCACCTTCCGGAGGCATTTGAAACCCCACCTCTTTAAGGAATACCTGGGATAGGATAAAGTAATCCTTCTACCCCCCCCCCCCCCCCCCCAAAAAAAAATTGTAAAGTGGTTATCCCACTGGCTATAGGGTGAACGCACCAATTGGTGAGTCGCTCTGGATAAGAGCGTCTGCTAAATGACGTAAATGTGCCCTTGAGCAAGGCACTTAACCCTAATTGCTCCTGTAAGTCGCTCTGGATAAGAGCGTCTGCTAAATGACTAAAATGTAATGTAAATGTCTAGAGGAGATCTGCATGGAGGAATGGGCCAAAATACCAGCAACAGTGTGTGAAAACCTTGTGAAGACTTACAGAAAACGTTTGACCTGTGTCATTGCCAACAAAGGGTATATAACAAAGTATTGAGAAACTTTTGTTATTGACCAAATACTTATTTTCCACCATAATTTGCAAATAAATTCATTAAAAATCCTACAATGTGATTTTCTGGAGAAAAAAAATCTCATTTTGTCTGTCATAGTTGACGTGTACCTATGATGAAAATTACAGGCCTCTCTCATCTTTTTAAGTGGGAGAACTAGCACAATTGGTGGCTGACTAAAAACTTTTTTTCCCCACTGTAGGTGTTGGCTATACAGCACAAACTTATCTGGAACCCAGCTATGCTTTTTCTGCTTCTTTTATCGGAACAATTTAGCCCAGGTGCTTTGCTTGAACTCTCAGAGTTCTTGACCACTTCATATCTATCCACCACTTAATTTACTCTCCACTACTCCCCTCACTAAATTCCTGTTTAGGCAATCCCGAATGCAGCAGCTTACTAACTGTTAGTTTGTCTCTAAGGATGTACAAAATCTCCATGTAACTGGTGCTTGTTGGAACATATTGTTGTTGCTTGCATGCCTCGAAGATGAGTTTGTTACACTTTAACAATGAAAGTAGGACAAAAAGGAAACAATTATTATATATCTCATTCCCATCTTCCCTCTCTCTTAACCCCCCCTCTTATCCCCAGATGAAGGACAAGTTTGGCCCAGTGTTCAGTATTCAGATGGGCTTGCGTAAGATGGTGGTGCTGTGTGGCTATGAGATGGTGAAGGAGGCCTTGGTCACTCAGGCTGATCAATTTGCAGAGCGGCCAGACATCCCAATATTCAAACAGATCACCAGAGGAAACGGTACAGGCCAACCCTGACTGACCAAAATCTCTTTAATAGATCAAGAACCACATTATCCGTCTTGATTCTAGGCCCAGGCATGTTTTTATGTCAACCGTTCAGTGTTCAAAATGGCAGTTTACAGTCACAGGCAATATTTTTTATCTTAATGCAGTGGCATGGCATTTTAAGGGGATAATTGCGGGGTAAAATCCATCCCACAGCAAACCTACAGGTCCACATAAATAAGCAAAGGAATACTTTACATACCTACAATTATTCCTTATAATAGCAGAGAATCTGTGATATTCTGACAATGTATCCTCTCCGTCAAAACAGGAATCATATTCGGCCATGGGGACTCCTGGAGGACCATCCGGAGGTTCACTCTGACGGTGCTCAGGGATTTGGGAATGGGAAAGAGGAACATCGAGGACAAAATCATTGAAGAGTCAGAAAACCTTGTAAAAAGCTTTGCAGCTCATAACGGTGAGGCCATATTGGATCTGATGATAAAACACCTACAAATACATAGATTATTCAACAGCCATACAAAATGCTACACATAGAACATGCTTTTTTTTAAACTCTTCAGCAGATCATTGAATGAATTAACTTTGATTTTATTGACATTAATTAATGTGTTTTTATGAAACTATTGTGACTGAGCCAGGTGACGGCTTCCAGACCACCATTCCCCTGAACGCAGCAGCGTCCAACATCATCGTCTCTCTGATTATGGGCCACAGGATGGAGTATGATGACCCCAATCTTTATAAAGCTCTTGGAAATGAACTACAAAAGCTTCAGGCTGGTCAGTGGGCCGTTCATTCAGGTATGATACTACATGACAGTATTTGGGATATTTGTTTGGGATATTTCCAAAAAAATTTAAATAACCTAAATCTATATTTAATTTACCTCTGATCACCGTTCCCTTCCGTAGAGGTATTAAAATGCTGGATACACATTGTCATTGTAACATTGACAGAGTGAGTTGACAAGTAAAAAACTGTAAAGTGAATTTCTCACATATAAACATGGAACCCCCATGCTTGATTCTCCAGCTGTACAACATGTACCCGGTGATCCACCCGCTGCCAGGGCCTCACCACAGAGTGCTGGCATACCAGGACAACCTGAAGGCCTTTTTCAGGAAGAGTTTCATCCAGCACAGACAGATCCTGGACGAGAATGACTCCCGTAGCTACATTGACGCCTTCCTCAACAAGCAGCAGGAGGTGAGCCCAGGGGTCAATGTCAGTCACACCAACTATGGATCAAAATGCCTTTTTGGCTTTGAGGGGGATAGAGATGTGCTACAGATTTGCCTAAAATTGATTTGAAATTACCGCTCCCACCATACAGTATCACTCACTTCCTAATGGTCCCATGTTTTGTCCTATACCTAATGCCTGTCCTCAACTTGTCTAAAATATATCCATTAGGAAAAGGATAATCCCTCTTCCCACTTCCATGAGTGGAACCTCCTGTGTTCCGTCACCAACATGTTTGTGGCTGGGACGGACACCACCTCCAGCACCCTGGCCTGGGCCTTAGTCATCATGATCAAGTATCCGGATATACAGAGTGAGTGAAACCACGTCATGTCGCTAGTCATTTTGGATCAATGTGAAATATAAGTTAAAAGTAATAGGCTACCACAAAGCTACCACCTCATTCCACGGCATAAAAGTGTAATATGAAACAAACGTACAAACTGGAATTGACTAACAACAGATGTTTCAAATAGAGAATGTGCATAAAAATGCAGAAAGAGGTGAAATCTCACAAGTCTTCCTTATACTCGGTCTACTTCCTATGTCCTCTCAGGTAAGGTCCATGAGGAGATAGACAAGGTGATTGGTGGTTCTACACTAAGGATCCAGCACAGGCAGATGATGCCCTTCACCGACGCTGTGATCCATGAGACCCAGAGGTTTGCTGACATCCTGCCCATGGACCTGCCCCACGAGACCACAGCCGACGTCAGCCTCAATGGCTTCTTCATACCTAAGGCAGGCCCACTCACAACTAACTAGGAGACACTAACTAACCTGCACCTTTAGTGAATCAAAAATAACCAGACAGTTAAGCAATACAGTTGTGGCAAAGCTAAAGATACTACCTGTCCCCAATATGGCACCGAACAGCCTTCCATGACAATGGCACATTCAAATGTGTGTGTGTGTGTGTGTGTGTGTGTGTGTGTGTAGGGGACCTACATTATCCCACTGCTTAGGTCAGTGCACCGCGATAAGGCTCACTGGGAGAAGCCAGACGACTTTTACCCTCACCACTTTCTCACCGTCGACGAGAAGTTTGTCAAGAGGGAGGCCTTCATGCCCTTCTCCGCAGGTAACAGGACACACCAAGCCAGGCTGTGAACGTACGACTAATCATTGTCTTAACAGACACCATCCTTATGTTCACCAGTTGTAGTAATTCAATAGTGTCCATGCCAATAGCTTAGGATTGCATTGTGTACTACTAGTAGAATTGTCACAAGCAAAAGTGAGTTTTTACTCACTCATCCTCCAATTCCTCCACCCATCTCTCTTCCCAGGCCGTAGAGTGTGTGTAGGCGAGACTCTGGCCCGCATGGAGCTCTTCCTCTTCTACACCTCCCTCATGCAGCGTTTTTCCTTCCATCCCCCCATCGGGATGACTGCTGACGACGTGGACCTCTCCACCTGCGGGGGCCTGGGCCTCGCCCCCCCCCCCATCAAAGTACGGGCCCTGCCTCGTTGCCATGACACCTAGGGAATTACCACCCCCTTCCCCTCCCCCAACAGCCTTGTATTTCACTTACATTTACATTTTAGTCATTTAGCAGACGCTCTTATCCAGAGCGACACTTGTCCTGTCAAATTCTGATTTTCCATTGTAAAGGGCAGTTATCACTTTGAGATGTCAGTAATCAGTAGGACACCTCATCTGCCTTGAATCTAAAATGCTCAGGACTAACAGTTAAAAATATAACTGTACAAAACTGATTTTGTAACTGTACTGACAATTATAGTCAAGCAATGGATATAAATGTATCAAACTTATCAAGACAATGACAAGATCATTTCAAAACCTAACAGAAGTATATATTTGTTTTATTATTGACTGTAGAAACAGAATGACCGACTGAAACAATTTAGCAAACACAAATATAACAGGTTGCGCTTCTGTTAGTCACTGGAAAAGCAAATTAAAAGTCTAATGTCTGTCTTGCCATACAAAGTGTATCAACATGTGCTATTCCTCACAACAAAAATAAGTCAGTACAAAGTTAAAAAATAAAATAGCATTTACAGAAGTAGTGTTTTGTAGAACATTGCAACACTTTAACTTAAGCAATAGCAGCATCAATAAATGCAAACTAGGTCATTATTTTTATGTCTAGAATTTTAACAATAACAAAACACTATATTAACTTAGAACAAATGTGAAACACAGAATATCATTTAGTGAAGACTTTGTTAAACAGTCTCAGGTTGACCTCTTCCTTACTCCTCCTCCTCCTCCTCTTCCTCGTTCCTCTGTCCAAAGGGAAGAGCAGACTGGCCACGGTCCGGGTCTTTCAGCCGCAGGATCCGGATCAGGTTGTTGACTGGGAGAGAGCTATAGGGAAGACAAACACAATGAAGACATTTATTTTAAAGTACACTATTTTTGATACACTGAATATGCAAATTGATTTACTTGATTTACATCATTTTGCAGACGCTCTTATCCAGAGCGACTTACAGTTAGTGAGTGCATACATTTTTTTCATACTGCCCCCCCGTGGGAATCGAACCCACAACCCTGGCGTTGCAAGCGCCATGCTCTACCAACTGAGCTACACGGGGCCAAATGAGAGATAATTAGGCAAAGCCATGATATAATTAAGCAATAAGGCCCGGGGGGGGGGTATATGGCCTATATACCACTGCTACGGGCTGTTCTTATGCACGACGCAACACGGAGTGCCCGGATATAGCCCTTAGCCGTGGTATATTAGCCATTTCCACAAACCCCAGAGGTGCCTTATTGCTATTATAAACTAGTTACCAACATAATTAGAGCAGTAAAAACAAATGTTTAGTCATACCCGTGGTATACGGTCTGCTATACCACGGCTGTCAGCCAATCAGCATTCAGGGCTCAATCCGCCGAGTTTATAAAATAGAACAGAGTTGCTTAATGTTAGTACACAGGAGGGTCATTGGAGGCTACAATACCTCATGCTCTGTGGGGTGAGGAATATGAACTGCCGGTAACGTTGGCTAGAAGCGATCTTCAACATCATGTCCATGGAAATCCTTCGGTTCACCATGTCCTAAAAAGAAAAACAGTTACATTTATTGACAGACAGTGTGCCAACAGAACTGAACAGAACGATTGACTGAAATAATTGAGCAAAAACATGAAGAACAATGTATCAATCTTAGCAGTCCTCACAGTGTAGGCTACAGAAGACACATGAGCTTAGATTAAAAGTAAGTTAATATTTGAATGTATTTAGGCAACTACCGGTAAAACTTTTTTCCTACTTACCCAAAGTCAGGCAAACTCATGGATACCATTTTTATGCTAACGATATGCTACCTTCAACTTCCTTCAAACTGCACGCAGAAACATAAAAATGGTATCCATCAGTTCCTCTGACTTTGGGTAAGTAGTGTTGGATTCTATCTTGAAATATAATTATTCCTGTCACTATATTAGAACATATTAATTACTTAACATGTATATGTTTGGGGTCAATAAAGGGTGAAAAGGAACTTTGTGTATGGAAAGTTACTGAGTGAGACAAAGGGAAGGGCAGAATGTTTCTATCTGTTCAAAGATGTTGTTGCTGAATATGAATATTTCTAAGAAAAAAGGTAAAGAGCAACAGTCTAGCCTCAGTTCCTGATAATGCATGCCAGCTGCTGTAGAACTAGGACAAGGAGGCATGTGGAACTCAACTCAAGGTCAACAGTTTAAGAGAGAAGAAACCTCTGGGAGGGGGGCCAGAGGGTCCCCACCCCAAAGATCATCTCACACACACTTCCATGCTTTTGAAGGATAGACTTAGGCAGGGCAATACCAGTAAGACGAACAGCCTCCGTTCCTGCCCAGTAACATGGATGAATTGTTTATCTTCAACATACAAGGAGGTGACTCCTAGTCGACAGGTATAAATATATGCTTGTGTGACTTGTGTTTTGAAGATGAAGCACTCAGTGGGTTGAATTAACTTGGTTTGAGCTTTTCCTACTCGTCCGTTTTGGTTTTTACTCTGTTTGATCAGAACATAACAGTAGGAAATAAGACTTAATTGCATAAATCCCAAAGTATCCCTTTAATATGCATTTTTAAATGGTTAAATAAAAGTAAATCATTCATCCATCCATTCAATGTGACATTATTACCATGTAGACGTCAAACTCGTCGAGGGCGCGGAAGGGGGCCTCCGCGATAGCCCAGAGAGAGAGAACGAAACAGACAGTGGAGAACGAGCGCTCTCCTCCAGACAGAGAGCGCATGTCACTCAGAGCAGCCTTATCCCCCACACCTGGCTGGACCTGAGCGAGGGAGGGAGGATGAGGGAGAAGATGGGTAGAGACAAAGAAGGATGCAGAAAGAGAGGAGTAAAAGAAAGACATTGACAAATGGGAAAGGGGGGTGGGAATGTGAGGGTAACTTGATTATTAGGCATACAGTTTTTTTTATAACCTTTAACTGCTTTTGCATTCAACAAGGGTACATGAGAAAAGGTATTTCTATGCTTTAAAACTGTAGTGTATTCTTACTGAGATGGACAGGGTTTCGTTCTTGTGCTCGAACATCATCTTCCCTATGTAGCCTCTCTGTGACAGCATGGAGTCAAAGTACATCTTGCAGCGCACTGAGAGAAACCTAAAAAGAGATACATAGGTGGAAGGAAAACAATTTAACAACAAATCCATAGCGCAACAGCTTTGCTTTTCCGCTAAATCTAACACCACATCGATAGATCGAGATGGCCTCCTTTCAGTCTTTCAATAGCTATTGTGCATAGCTCTATAACAGATGTTGATGCTAGCAGTACCATCCAGTTGTTCTGTGATCTCTTATGAGACAGTGAGTGGTGTCAAATAACAGAGCTGATATTCTATTGGACAGACAGGAAGTGAATGGTGGATCCAGCTACCTCCTCAGCTCTGTGTAGACTCTGTGTCTGTCGTCCATGATCTTACACAGGACCTGGATGAAGCGCTTGAGGCACTTCACCTGCTGGTTAATTTTACTGTAGTTCTCCAGGGCCTCTTGGTATTGCCTGGATGGGAGAAAAGGGGGGAAAGCAAGCAACGTTTACCTTCTGCCCTTAAACAGATTACCCAGTAGTCATTTTTATATGGACAGCCCTATTATATGGAAATACTGACAAAACATAATATATAACAACACCGAAGTAACCAAAATATATATCCAAGAACACTTAGGGAATCAACTACAGCTCAGGCAAGTGGAATAAAATCAGGTCGTATTTTGAGTGGAACATCCCTTAAACGTTTGTGTGGGGTGAAGGGTCAGAGGTCAGGGGTGGCGGAGGTTACCTGATGACCTCTTCGCGGTCTCCCTGCTGGTCCTGCTGGGTGCTGATCTTCAGCTTCAGACGGCTGATCTCGCTGTCCAGACTCCTGGCCGTCCGACGCACCTCGGACCGCTCTGGACAGAGCTCTGTGGCCTTCACTACAGAAGCCTGAGACACAGGAGGGTTAAGACAAGGAACACACACATTAAGCAGGGAAAACAGGCAGTAAGAGAAAACATACACAGAAGATGGCCCTGATATAACTAGTCAGTGTACTGTTAGTATCCATATGTAGCACCTCCTCCCAGACGTACCGTAAGCTCCTGCTCCTTGAGCTCCAGGCTGGCCTTGAGGTCCCGGATGGTGTTGATGTGGACCTTGCGTTTGTCCTCGTAATGTTTCTTATGGTGCTTGCTCTTCTCCACATCCTGGTCGCTCTTACTCAGCTCCTCCTGAGAAAACAAGGGGGAAGGAGAGATTTATCGCCATCTATTGGCTTTACCTTTTATCCGTTTAATCTTTGTGTGATTGATTGTGTGCAACAAAATGAAGACATGGATTATCAGCATTTTACGTCCTTTTCACTCTCCTGGTTCATTCCTCATTTGCACACCAAACTTCCCTCTGTGTTAATAGAAATTGAAGTTCATCTTGATGTGACTGACCTTGATGGGTTCGGCCTCCTCGGCCACGGTGCTGATGGACTCTTTGTGCTGGCGGTACCTCTGCTCCACCTCCTCCCAGGAAGCCTTCAGCTGGGCCATCTTTCCCAGGGCCTCCTTGCTCTCCGCACGCGCTGCTGAGATCTTATTGTTGATCTCCTCCAGCTCCTCCTCCTGAAGGCCAGAGAGTGTGACAGGAGGAGCATGGTGTGTGTCGTGGAATGTGAGTACATGTGTGTATCATATCAGTTGGAATGTGAAATAGAGAGAACAAGGGAGTGAGAGAGAGAAAGGGAAGGAGATGTTCATGAATGACATTAGCTCAAACTAAATGTTAAAATATGGTCCGTGTGTCTAGAGGTGTGTGCCCACCAGAGGCTTGAGGTCCTCAGACTGGGGTTCCTCCACGTTCTGCAGGTCACTGATCTCCTGCTGCAGCCTCCTGAACTTATCCTGGAGGAGAGGAGACTTGTCACCTAGTAACTCCACATCTAGTCTAATCAGAGGTGAATCATTGTGCTCTCCTAAAGGATTTCTAGTTGGATCCATGGTACGGCTCAGGAGAGAGATGCTGGTTTGTCACAAAGGCCAGCTTGAGCAAGATGTGCGTTGGTGTTACCTTGGCTCTCTTCCTGTCGTCATAGGCCCTCTTTAGGAGACCGTTGTTGTTCCTGATGTCCTCCTCCACCCTCTGCTTCTGCTGGCTGAAGCGATCCAAGAGGGCCGCCTTGTTCCGCATCTCCTCCTGCAACTGCCTGAGAGAGATACATGGAGATATTGAGAGAAGGGGTAGAGGGAGAAAGGTAAAGCACTAAATTGAGTCAGAAAAACAGAGCAGCAGAAACCTTTTCAAAACAAATGGATGTCACACACACACACACATTACCTGATCTCCTCCTCTACGTCTCTGCTAAGGTAGTCGCACCTCCTCTGGTCGTTGGAGTAGTAGCGGTTGTTGTAGCACTGGTCTCCCTCCTTGGTGAAGGCCTGGTAGCAGTTTCTAGGGGGCTGCCTGCCCTGCATCACTCTGCGGGCCTCTGCAGGACTCTACATGGTAGTTACAGACAAAGGGGTTAGAACCACAGAAATTGAACCTTTCTCCCTTCCGTCCTAAAGGCTACTGTTTTCTACAAGGAAGTGGCTTGAAGTTCATTCATGTTGTTTTTGGCATGCAATTCAGTTGTTGCATGGGGATAGTTCAAGTATTCAAAGTTGTAGCTTATTATCGGCTCAAACTTTAAAAGAGTAAACTATCCCTTAAAGAGGGCGACACTGAAAAAAGTCAAGAATCGTAGTTGCAGTCACTACTGGCCAATCCAAGGTGACATTATGACATTTGAGTGAACTCTAACTATGGTGGCAGTAGACTCCATGGTCCTACCTTGATGAGTAGAATACTCTCTATGCCTCTCTGGTCGATGAGGCAGTTGGCAACCACTGGGTCCTCGATCTCCAGAGACTGTAGGACTGACGGGTAGTCAGGGTGTTTCACAGCCCTGACACACACACACGACAGAAAACATGTTGGTTACAGAGAACAAAATGAACCCTTAGAGCGGTACAAATAAGCCTGTACATAAGCCCAGCTAGCCTGAAGCCGGGTGTGGTAGGTAGCTAACATCCATACCGCCTACTAGTGTCATGGACCCTGTTGAAGAACTGGCAGGTGATGATCTGGGGTCTCCTATCCCCCTGGCAGTACCCTCTCATGAGGCCCTGCAGCAGCCTCTCGTCCTCGTGGTTGTCACAGGTGAAGGCCAGCATCAGGCTCCCCAGACATTTCTCCACGGCCAGGGCCTGCTCATGGTCCTTCAGACGGATACAGTACCCTGCATGGGGCACACCAGGAGAGAGAGGACTTTGGAAAGAGCTTAATTTTAACCAATGACAAGGTTACACAAATAAGCATGACATCCAGAAAGGAGAATGAAGGGTAAGATAATAGTATTTTCACTCGCACGGAAATACACACGCACACACAGGTCTTACCCAGCGGACCCACTGGTTTCTTCCTGAACTGGCCCTTCCTGTGGGCGTCCTCGATGGCAGCGAGCAGCGCGGGCATCTTTTCCCCGAAGCGGCGCAGGCGGTCGGAGCGACTGCCCTCCATGGTCTGCAACTTCCTCCTGATGACGTCCATAGACCTCTTCAGGTCCTCCTCCTCTCGCCTGAGAAACAGAGATAAACACACACAGGGTTAGGGCTCCGGTTCCGGGTTAGGGCTCCTGCCTTCTTTCTGCTCCTGTTCAGCAACAATTTCCTGTTGTTTTTTAAAATTATATTTCACTGTTTTTTATGGCTTCATGGCACTCTCCTTTAAAACATAGTTGATTGATGTCCAGTTGATATGGTTGAGGAGTAGATATGGTTATATTTTAAAACACACAACCTCAGCCTTATCATCTAATGTCTGTTTCATCGCTGGCAACACCTCACCCTATCACTTATATATATAAATAAACAAAACAATATTCCTACTTCTGATATGGCTGCCACGTAACGTTTACATAAGACTACACCCATGAGAGTTTTTCATAAGCCCTGTGAACCCTGTGGCATAGCTCCAGACTCCTATGACGTCACTACGGTGTGTGTGTGTTTGTACGTTGTACAGCCAAGTCTCAAGAGTTACAGGCCTGTATATAAATGGATTGCTCAGTGCCTACGTCATCTTTTCCAGCTCGTCCTTGGCCCGGGACACAGCCTGCTGGAACTGTTCCATCTGCTGACCTAGGGTGGAGTCCTGGAAGTTCAGAGTGTCCAGGTCTGTCTGCAGCTTCTCCATGCGCTCAACACGCACCTGGGTCTCCGCACCCGACGTCTGGCTGATACTGTGGGGAGGAGAATAAGGGAAAGAAATCCAGTTTGTGACTGTGGCAACATAAAATCACTTCTCCCATGGCAATACAAGTTGTATTTTGAAACTGAAAAAGAGGTGGGAAAGGATCAGAGGCGCTACCTCAACTTGAGCTCATTAATTCTCCTGGAGAGCTGATCCTTGTCCTTCTCCAGGTCTCTCAGGTTGGTCTTGAATCTGTGTACACTGGCCTGTAAGAGAGACACGAATCAACAACTAGCGAACTAGAAAAGAGCTCCTCGTTATCGAGCTCTCACATATAGTTAGTGTTGAGCTCTGAGCTGGAAGCTGTAGTTTTTCATTGTGCTGCAGTTATGATTATGGAGATGTTATGGTTAATGATGTTAAGCCTTGTATTGGTTACTTGCTAAACCCCTGTTATTTAGAAGACTCTGGGGTATTGTAACACTCATCACTGTTCTCTCACCTGGGCTGTGTTGAAGGCCTTGCTTCTGCTCTGAGCCTCGTTCTTCAGCTCGGCACTCTGTGGCTCCAGCTGCTGCACCCTCACAGTGATGGCCTCCAGCTGCTCCCGGATACCCTTGTACTTCTTCTCCGCCTCCACCACCTTGGTCTGGGCAGGAAGTGAGGTCATAAAGAACAATCATCAGCAATGACAAACAAGGGGAAATAGTCACTGAAGTTAATTAAGTAATGGCTGCATTTTTCAATAATGTGAAGGAAACCCACACACCAAATGCTTATGGCTGTAAAAATAAGAGGGTGATGTTAGTTACCTTCCACTCGTCTACTTTCTGGTCGTATTTGACGGTGGACCTCTCCTCTGATTGGAGCTTCTCTCTCATGGGCTTCACCTCTTTCTCCATCTCAGACACCTGGCGCAGGACAGAGCGAAAGGGATTTTACATCAGATTGAATATGTATTTAGCTGGGTTGCTAAATCTGCTGCAATATATCTGTTGTGCATGACCCTTGATAAATAAACAAATAAAATAAATCCATTTTTAGATTAATATTTTTAAGGTATGCTGCTGCCCCTCACCAGAGCCCAAGCCATCTGATTCTTCAGCTCCTCCAGTTTACTGTGCATGTCGTCCAGCGAGGCCAGGCTTTTGACCAGGTCCTCTTTCTCCAGGTACTTCCTCTTTAGCCCCTCCAGACACTGAAACATAATGATTAAAACTTCAAAAGTGCTACTTTATAACAACTCCATTAAGATCTCTCGGTTGTTCATGGACAAGACTTCCTTTGTAAAAAGGGGGAACACTATGGGACTACATGCTGCAGGGCTGGTTTGGATGAAAGCATTCAGATGGGTGATTTCATAACACACCACACATAAGCCAAGTGGATCCGTACCTCCTCGTGTTTCTCCACAGTGTCTAGGGTGACATTTTTAGTTGTTATGATGTGGGTGTAATCCTCTTTCATCTGCTCAAGCTGTGTGGCTTTCATAAAGAACTGAGGGAGAAAAACAGAACACTTAGTCACTAACAAGGTAAGAGCAGTCCTAAAAGGTAGGCCTACATTGAGCTCTTTCACCCTCATGCTATTTGACAGTGAAAACCACAGACTGACAATAAGACGTAGCAGAGATATAATACCTGCAACACATGCTGGCAAGATGCATGCCATTTCCTTAATTTACACCATGCCCTCCACAAATACAGAATTTCATAAATGAAAAGATTCAAGTATATCAAACTGACTCTGTACTTATCCCCTTCTCCTTTGGAGTGCAGAAAGTGCTTGCTCATCTCTTGAGTTAACATAGATACAGGGTTGTCCACCTTGGGAAAATAATGATTATACAAAATAAATCAATACTTATTTATAACAGCAACAGTGTTTCCAATATTTTCATACAGTCTTGCAGGTGATCAACAGAACTTGTAGTACCTGGATGTTAAAGTGATCCAGAATGGCCAAAAGTTCATCCTTCTTCGCAGACACAAGATGACCTGCAAGACAAAGTACATTCTTATGTGCTCATACTGCATCTATTGCTGAGTGGAACACTTTTTGAAATATAGCCTAATGTTAAGATCCAGAATGAACTATGTAGATTGATTTTAAAAGGCCTCCTGTAGCTCAGTTGGTAGAGCATGGCGCTTGCAACGCCAGGGTTGTGGGTTCGATTCCCACGGGGGGCCAGTATGAAAAATGTATGCACTCACTAACTGTATGTCGCTCTGGATAAGAGCGTCTTCTAAATGACTAAAATGTAAATGGGGTTTTGCACTAAAGTGTCAGGCACATATCTCAGGTCCATGGGCCTGTTTGAGTGAAAGGCCCATTTACAGAAGGTTAATCCACACATTCTTATTACATTCATTACCAGCTTTGCTCTTGAGCTTGTAGGTCCTCATGCCCTCGCGGGTTATCTTGAGGTCTACTATGATGGCCTGGCCGAACACTTCTGGCTTGTAGGCATCCCTGCCCTTGTTACGCAGTGTTATGGAGACGTCAGCCGAACTGGGAGAGCAGAGGGCCACAAACAGGGTTGCATTATGACTCAAATATGACAGTAGGATAAACCTGGCACTTTTGTATGCATTGTCAAAATGGGGCAGGTGGCAGTTAACACAGTAGTGAGTGGGAAGTGTGTAGCCACTGACATTTACGGTTTGTCACAAACTCCTGAATCTCTTTGGACACGTTTTACTGTATGGAAATTCCTAAGGGAAATAACAGTTACTCTTGCAAGGATGCCAGATGCATGTTAACACTAATCTCCATTTACAACGGTTTACTGCCTGAGGTAAACAGTAAGTGACCGTGCTTCCAACAGACATCTGGAACCAGTCTTTCAAGGCAGAAATAATGTCCCCAAAGACAAGGGAGTGAGTAAATACAGGGAACACAAGTACCTCTCTCCTTCTTTCACAAATCCCTTCAGGGAGGACCCTCTGTTTGTGGTTGTAGCTTTCCCTCCCAGGCCCACCATTAGAGCTGTGAGGACAGCACTTTTTCCACCTGTCCGTTTAGAAACACAATATCAGACACAGAACCACGGCACTGAAATCTTCGAGCACCATCATTGGATCAATACTGAAAAACTGAAAGAAACATGCGATAGAGTAACAAGTGGAGACACTATACCATCGCGTAATAATCTCTATCTATAATCAGTCGACAATTATACCATCTTGAGATAAAAAAAATAAATAAAAAGTCCGGATGAAGTGGTGGAACTCACTTCCATTGTTGCCGACGACAAAGTTGACATTGGACCCAAACGCAAATGGACCCAGCAGAGAGTGGCACATAAAGTTCTTCAGGGAGATGCTCTCCACTATGCCCACCTCTCCAACAGTCTGCAACAAAACAAAGCTAAGACGTTACAGTAAATCCTAATGTTTTAATATGGAGGCACATCAGGTCATTGATTATTTCCTTTTTAATAAAATATCACTCATTACCTGTATTAATGGCACCTGTTTGAACTTGTTATCAGTATAAAAGACACCTGTCCACAACCTCAAACAGTCACACTCCAAACTCCACTATGGCCAAGACCAAAGAGCTGTCAAAGGACACCAGAAACAAAATTGTAGACCTGCAGCAGGCTGGGAAGACTGAATCTGCAATAGGTAAGCAGCTTGGTTTGAAGAAATCAACTGTGGGAGCAATTATTAGGAAATGGAAGACATACAAGACCACTGATAATCTCCCTCGATCTGGGGCTCCACGCAAGTTCTCACCCCATGGGGTCAAAATGATCACAAGAACGGTGAGCAAAAATCCCAGAACCACACGGGGGGACCTAGTGAATGACCTGCAGGGAGCTGGGACCAAAGTAACAAAGCCTACCATCAGTAACACACTACGCCGCCAGGGACTCAAATCCTGCAGTGACAGACGTGTCCCCCTGCTTAAGCCAGTACATGTCCAGGCCTGTCTGAAGTTTGCTAGAGTGCATTTGGATGATCCAGAAGAGGATTGGGAGAATGCCATATGGTCAGATGAAACCAAAATATAACTTTTTGGTAAAAACTCAACTTGTCGTGTTTGGAGGACAAAGAATGCTGAGTTGCACCATACCTACTGTGAAGTATGGGGGTGGAAACATCATGCTTTGGGGCTGTTTTTCTGCAAAGGGACCAGGACGACTGATCCGTGTAAAGGAAAGAATGAATGGGGCCATGTATCGTGAGATTTTGAGTGAAAACCTCCTTCCATCAGCAAGGGCATTGAAGATGAAACGTGGCTGGGTCTTTCAGCATGACAATGTTCCCAAACACACCGCCCGGGCAACGAAGGAGTGGCTTCGTAAGAAGCATTTCAAGGTCCTGGAGTGGCCTAGCCAGTCTCCAGATCTCAACCCCATAGAAAATCTTTGGAGGGAGTTGAAAGTCCGTGTTGCCCAGCGACAGCCCCAAAACATCACTGCTCTAGAGGAGATCTGCATGGAATAGCAGATTCTGCAGACACTGTCAGTGTTGTCACTCCTGCTGTTGTGACTGAAATATGTCAGGTAAATTGAGAATGAAATAGGCTCAATTTGACTGACATATTTCAATCACAACAAGAATGACAACTAGGCTTGGGCAGTATACCATATCATTGGTTGGGGGTGCCCTAAAACAAGGGCAGGGATGCGCGCTACGCCCCTGCTTATAACTAACTATAAATGAACTAAGATGTGCCAAATAAATGAACTAAGATGTGCCAAATAAATGATCTCCAGCTCAGGGCTGCAGCTATGCATTTAGTTTGCTAACTTGCTAGCTAAGTGGCTAGCTTGCAAGATGACGTTTCTTGGTTACAGCCGAGACAATCAAGCCCCTCCTGGATCAAGATCCCTGCTGCCTAAATTTGTTAAGGTGTTTTTACGTTTCGAAATAGCGCCCCTTGTGTGCACTGCACGGTATGGTACAGGAACGACCCTGTATGAGGGTATAACAATCTGGCTAGCGCCCAGGCACCCAACCTTAGACTGACAACACTGACAGTGACAACTGCAGTCTCTACTCTTATTTATAACGGTCTCACATAAATGAAGTGTACAATAGCTAACTTAGATACCGTATGTGATCCTGATAGCACAGGGGGTTGGCTGGGACCCACTTCATCATCTTCATCATAAACCTCTGTGGGTCTGACTCTCTTGTGAGGGCTCTCTCCAATTGAGTTGTTCTTCCTCTTAGACATCTTCTTGGACACCCTGTATAACAACACCGATCATAGAAAACCATAACTGGAAATATAACAGTTAACTGCTAGCTAACGTTAGCTACACTTAACTAACCTCTAGTTAGCTAATTACTAACATTAGCACATAGAGATAGATTGAGGACTCATCTTTGTATCTGCGCCATGATAGCGTATGTGACAGCATTGGCAGCGCCATTGAGACCATCTCAATTTAAAATAGGTAATTTTTTTCTTCATTATTGGCTGAACCCTCCTGATGAACTAGATTGGACATGTCACCAGGAGGGGTCAGCCAATGAAGTTGGAAGTCCCACCCGGTTGACAACACTAAAACGGTAGAGACCTGCCCCAATGCAAAAATAGCCTTTTGGCCACTACATGCCTCTATCATTCTCTATGCATTAGCAAGCCAGCTAGCAACGCGGTAAAGTTAACTAGCTAACCTTAGCTAACAAATCAATTCTTACCTGTGAAGACCTCTGTCGGTAAATTAGCAGGCAAGGTTTTTAAATAAACATATCCACAAAAGTGACTTCGGTCGCTAGCTATGCAATGCTTATTGGCGAATTTTGGAGGTAGCTAGATGTCGAAAGACATACAGCTACGATGTAAAGTATTGCTACCCACTCAGCTGTTCACTGGATTCCGCGCGCAACGTCAAAAAAATGGACAGCAGCGTGCTGCGCAGTCAATGTCGTCCCGCGCGTTCATTCGCTGACACTATGACCGGAAGTAAGTGATTTGGATTCGGAAGCGTGTTTGTTTTTGCAGGAAGTGCTGCTGAATTCAAAAACAAACCTGCAAAAAAGTTATCACCAAAGTACCTTTGGTGTGAAATACTTCACATTGATCTTTTTCTTTTTTTATAACAAGGTAAACAACGATTTTCGCGATGGGTGTGCACGACCTGTGGTCCATTCTGGGGCCGGTTCGGGAGGCGGTGCCGTTGTACAGCCTCACGGGAAAGACCCTGGCCGTGGACCTTAGCCTGTGGGTCGTCGAGGCCCAGCACGTCCAAGCAATGATGGGGAAAGTCACCAAACCTCACCTCCGGTAATATGCGCAGAGATTCACAAATGCAAAAGTTTGAAAAACAATTTAAACTCTGACATTGAGACATAGGCATTAAACCCTGATCCGATTCCACATTATGTACCTGATTAATCATTTGCATGATTAATCAATCGGGCGACTTACTATTGGTCTGCTGTTTCAAAATGAAATCCCTTTTATGCAGAGGAACAACAACTCCCTGGAATGAGAATTATGGATTTTATTATTTCTCTCTTTCAGGAATCTGTTTTTCAGAGTATCCTCTCTCACACTGATGGGGGTAAAGCTCGTTTTTGTCATGGAGGGAGAGGCCCCTAAACTCAAAGCAGAGACCATGAGCAACAGGACAGACATGAGATTCAGGGGGTTAAAAAAGTCAGCCCCTAAAAAAACTACTACAAAGACCAACAACAGGGGGCACTTCAATGCTGTGCTGAGAGAGGTGGGTGGACGGAAGTTGTGGCATTCATCACCCTCATTGATTGATTTAAAGCTGTGTGTGTGTGTCTGTGTGTGTCTGTGTGTGTCTGTGTCTGTGTGTGTGTGTGTGTGTGTGTGTGTGTGTGTGTGTGTGTGTGTGTGTGTGTGTCTGTCTGTCTGTCTGTCTGTCTGTCTGTCTGTCTGTCTGTCTGTCTGTCTGTCTGTCTGTCTGTCTGTCTGTCTGTCTGTCTGTCTGTCTGTCTGTCTGTCTGTCTGTCTGTGTCTGAGTGTGTCTTTCAGAGTGGCTGTGTGTGTAGCTGCGTATGCATACAACATGCGTATAGAGGCATAAGTCAGTATTATGCACATGTGTTTTTAAAAATGATCTGTGTGTACCCACTACCCATCTCTCTCTTCCCTCCAGTGTGCAGAGATGCTGGACTGTCTGGGTGTCCCCTGGGTGACAGCGGCAGGGGAGGCAGAGGCCATGTGTGCCTTCCTGGATGCCCAGGGCCTGGTGGACGGCTGCATCACCAACGATGGAGATGCCTTTCTCTACGGAGCGCAGACCGTCTACAGAAACTTCAACATGAACACCAAGGTAATGCGTTTGTGTATTTAAATTAGGTATGTTACATTTCATTTGTAAGGGGTGTGACATTGAAGAGAGAAGTATTAAAACTTATGATTTAGTTAATGAACCTCTAGTGGATGCATCCAATCTGTAAATGCTGTACTTGTAGGTTTCTGTTGTCTGAATGCTCAAGAAAATAATCCCTGCTGTATCATTCCCGCTGTTGTAGGATCCACAGGTGGATTGTTACAGGACTTCTAGGGTGCAAACAGAGCTACAGCTAGCCAGAGAGACACTTGTGGGTCTGGCCATCCTTCTGGGCTGTGATTACATTCCTAAGGTATAGGAGAGGGGGACTGCTAATGACTAGATCAGCTTCTAAGGGGGTAAAACACACTTACACCAACTGTAGAATATACAATATTACTGTTTTGTTTTTGTTACTATGACATGTTTTGTTTTCTTACCACAAGGGTATACCAGGAGTTGGGAAAGAGCAAGCTCTAAAACTCATACAGACATTAAAAGGACAAACACTTCTACAAAGGTAAGAAACTAAAAGTATAAGACATTCCTTTTTGTTTCACCCTCCAGCACACTGATTAAAAAGAGGAGAGACTAATAGAGAAACATAAACAGTCTGTAATCCAGTAGTTTTAACTAGGTCTTATGTAAACATGTACACTCCCCTATGTATTTATTTATTTGGACAGTAATGCTAAAACTTTTATTTTGGCTTTATACTCCAGCATTTTGGATTTGAGATCAAATGTTTTATATGAGGCGACAATACTGAATGGTGATGATGAGGTATTATGCAAACATGTATATGATATAATAGTCTATGCCTATCCTATACCCTCTCCTCTCCCATGACAGGTTCAGCCAGTGGAGGGAGGAGGGTGTGGGTGTGCCAGAGTGGATCCTAAAGAAGGTCCCTCACTGCAATCTGTGTCGCCATCCTGGTGAGTTACTTAGGCCCTCCGTCAAACTCACTTCAGCCCCTCGTCCTGATAAGAAGTGTAAATCAGGAGGGTGGGTGGGTGGGGAGGGGAGGGGTTTCCCAGGATGAGGTGACTCGCATGTGGTGGATCAAGACCATTTAAAAATACTGTGATGATGAAGGCATCTACATGTGAGACGCTTTAGTTTGCTAATACGTCTTCAGCATTGTAGCTCCTAAGTAAAGTTAGTGTACTTAGTCGAGATCAGTATTAAATGTCTCTGTATGGTGGTTCAAAGCTATCTGCTATGATTATTGGGGCTGTAGCCTATCAGTCCAGTCACCCTGAATTGACCTCTCTGATGAATTGACCTCTCTGATGAATTGACCTCTCTGATTTTGTCTGTCACTCCTTTTTCTGTTCCTAACCATCTCCTAACTAACAAACTGCTACCACTTCATTATGTTATTCTCTATCACTCTCTCTTCATTCTCTCTCTCTCTTTCTCATCATACTCTTTTATCTCTTTCTCCTTCTCTCTCAGGGTCAGCCAAGACCCACGAGCGCAGTGGCTGTGTGTTGTGTGACAGCAAGCACTTCTGTGAGCCTCAAGACTATGACTACGAGTGTCCCTGTGACTGGCACCGCTGTGAGCAGACACGACAGGCCTCTTCAACAGAAGCCAACATCAGGAAGTGAGGCCCTGTTTGCACCAAATTCACTCATTCCTATAATATACACATTTATTGATTACAATATTGCTTATGTAATTTAATTGAAAGGGGGAACAAACATGTCTTGTTCCTTTACATATATGGTGTTGATTTGTTTTCAGGAAAACACTGGCAAGTGATAAGTTCCCTTTTACAGAGGTAAAGTAAATACAGTTATTATCTTAAGTTACTGAATCTGTGTAATATCATGTGTAAAGGATACAAGCCAAGATAAGGATGTCATTTCCTGTATGGACATTTTGTATTTCAGATCATAAATGAATTTCTGGTAGACAAAGACAAGCCTGTCCACAATTTCAAATGGAGGACACCGAACATGCTATTAACGCAGGTATTCATTCAAAAATGAATATTTTTTAACAGATGCAATTAATAAATAATGTATTACCTAATTTGTCTGTTAGTCAAATAACTTGTAATATTTTTTTTGTCTGTGATCCAGAACTTTGCGTATGATAAGATGGAGTGGCCTAAGCACTATACCAGTGAAAAGGTTCTGGTCCTGATGACGTACACTGAGCTGATGAACAGAAAACATGGAAGAGCGACGTCATCACAGATAAAACCACTACGGTACGGTCCCATTCACACTCCAATGGACTTCTCTGAGTGTAAAATATGGAAGTTACTCGCTTGTAGGCTATAGATATTTTTAATATTACATATTAAATTGTATTTTAAAATCCTCCCTGTTAACAGTATATGGAAGCCAAGAGTGAGGAATGCAATCGCCAGCTTTGAAATCATCTGGAGTAAGCCAGGTCAGTTTGATCAAATGAAACAGTGCTTCCTATGAAGCCTTCCATTTTCAAAAACCATTATGCTTATGAATGAGGGATCATTGCAGACGTTCCTTCTCTTTATATTATCAGCATTGCCCCCATTGTTATTGTTCTATGATAGTTTTTTGTATTGTACTCTCCAAGCCAACTGAAATCACAGTTTTCCAAACCTCTTATTACCCTGTACCGGTTTGATGTACTGTATTCCTGTTATGACATCAGAGTTGCCTCAATAACGATTGGGGTGACAGTCTGTTTTGACCTATGCAGAGTCTCTATAAACCGGGGCTTCTCTGCCTGTCTCCGTGTTGTCTGTTAGTGACTTGTTGTGAGGTGGGGTTCAGAGGGGGGCAGAGGTGACAGAACAGCCACAACACCATCAGGTGCTAAAATGGCTTCCTCCCGGGCTGGGAAAACTGTCATATCAAAGTCCCGAAAACTGTCATACCCCCCCCCCCCCCCCACTAACAACCTCATCTGATATTTCAGACCTCACTGGGCCTGAGCTAACTACTGAAATACCATCCCCAAATCTGTATTATTATTTTGAGGGGGGCGTGGTTTGCATCTGTATGGTGATTCAGCAGACAACACACATATTACACAAAAGACTGGATACAATTGTATTGTTTGAATTGTTTCATATCATATTTTCCGCCTGTAAAAAATTGCTACTTTGTTTTTAGTAATTTTGTAGTTTCGTCCATGATATCCTCCCTGCAGATCACTATGTGTTTCCTGAGGACCACCCTGGGGACAGCCAGGACGAGGTGAGGACGGTGGAGGAAGAGGCTCTGTTCCGCCTGGCCTACCCACACGTGGTGGAGCTGTACCTCAGGGAGAAGGCTGAGGCTGAGAACAAGACCAAGAGTAAGGTCAACATATTATGGCTGGAGAACATAATGTATTATGCTTACATTTAATTAAGATTAAATGACCTTAAGTTATTGATATGAAAATACAATGAATGTTAATTCATTTAGAATGATTGACATTCTGATACGATATTGACTGACAATAACATATTGATATACTTTATTGACGTAAAATGATACAGAGTTTTTTAAAACCGTATTCAATTTGTCCTTGGGGAGAAACGGGACGCCCCTAAACTTAACAGGCTCAACGACTGCTCACTACTTAGCTCAGACAGGGTGCGGATCAAAGGCACCTGGAGCTTTGCGATGTTTTTCAGTCTCTCTCTTATAGGCCCTCTGACACCTGGACATACAGGGTTTGGCATCTCCGCTCCCTCACATCAAGGCTTTGATACACCAGAGGTGTCTGTCACACAGGAGCTGCTGTCACGTTAGACAGGTTGGGGCTGGCTCCCCCTGTAGCTCAGTGCTGTAGAGCAGGGGTACCCACAGTAGACTGGGTAGCGCCAACCAAGGGTACTTGGACTTGAAGAGACAAACTGTTATGGTGGATTTTGTATCTGCCATTTTGTCTCTTATATTTTCTGTCTTTCGTTTTCAGAGAAGAAACCGAGGAGTAAGAAAGACAAGCCTTCGGATCCCTGTGATGTTTCTGACCTCCTGGACAAAATGTCGTTGCACAGTTCCACTGCTGACAACAACACCCAACAACCCTCTGCCACGGCAGCAGCACCGACCATTACAACCATTACACCAAGTAACAACTCAGTGTTGGTCCTGGAGGGTCCAGAGTCAGAGTCCCCAAAAAAGGGTCTGGATCCTGGTAAAGACCATCCCCGCTTAGAAGTACGTCTTGGAGCTCAGATACAGAAAGTGATGTCATCTCCGTCTTTCACTTCCTCTGGGAAGATTCCAGAAGCAGCGGCCTCCTCTCCGTCCGTTTCCATGGTGATGGATGCTCTTCACCTGAGTGACATCGACTGGGAGTCTCAGTCATTCACGTCCTCCCCGCCCCCGCAGGCTGCTAGCGCTCGCACTGCCACTGACCCCAAGTCAGTCCAAACCACAGATGATGGTGTCAAAGAAAGGATCACGAAACAGGGCCCCTCTACTGATCTCAGAGCAGCGGAGGCCGTACCAGGGCCGTGTTATATAGAGTGTTCGCTGAGGGACAGGGTCCTAATGAGAAACACCCGCAAGTCTGTGAACATGGTGGACAATGATGATGTCACCACCATACACGTAAACTCCCAGTCAGCACCCCTGGATTTAATTGATTCTAACAACAGCGGCCCTAAGCCAATGGCACTGATACCCATTAAAAGCAGCAATGACTCTAAGCCATCAGAACAGCCGCTGGTGTGTGGTACGAAAGCCACACTTGTTGATAAGGGCCAGAGCATTGCATTGGCCCGTAAGCCTCAACCTGCTCATCACAGCTCAAAACCTAGCTCAGTGAACTCAACACAAACAGGCCCAGTCACCTCAACACAAACAAGCCCAGTCACAGCAACACAAACAGGCCTAGTCACAGCAACACAAACAGGCCTAGTCACAGCAACACAAACAGGCCCAGTCACAACAACACAAACACAAAGGGCTAGACAACATGGTGCCGGTGAACCAAAGCCTCCACAGAAGTACAGATTTGTAAAGAAGGCCATATCCTCTTCTTCCGCTCTGCCGCAAAGGAGCCACTCTGAACCTGGCGACACACAGCCTGGTCGGGATGACAGGAACATGAAGTCACATCAGGAAACCAAGAAGAGCGTGTGCGCCAGTATGTGTTCATCGAGCGAGGACAGCGACACAGAGAGCCAGTGTCGGGGAGGAGTGCAGATCAGGGCCAAAGTCAAACCCAAAAGCAGGCCCAGGTGCCAATACCTCACAGACTACTCACTGAAACCCACCACCACTACAAAGGCAGTCTGGGACACAGTGACAGCACAGCCCCTCAGGCCTAGAGCTGCGTCTGCCAGTATGGGTGAACAACCGATACTAGGCAGCTCTGTGTCTACCTTGGGGAAGTGCCAGGATGTTCCACCAATTAGAATTGATGATGACATTGTGTTCATTCCAAGTCCCGTTTCCCCAGTGACTGTGTCTGATGGCGATGACTCAGTGATTTGCAGCAAGAGCCCACTGCCATTGGCAGAGAGGGTGAGGCTGAAGTTCCTGAAATGAGTGATGTGATATACCAGTGTTAGGACAGAAAAAAAAACGATTTCCTAATATTATTCTGTCAAATAATAATAATAGTATTCTATCAACATTTTATTTAGTTTGTTTATAAAGTGTATTTTTAACCTTTGATATAGGCTTTTCCTTTTGTCTTCTATGTACACAATACACTAAATCTTTAATGGTCTTACAGTAGGAGATGAAGAAAAACTATTTTACTCATGAAGTTAGGGAGAGGGCATGTATGAATGCTCTTGGATGTTCTGTGATAATGTTGTTTTGTTTTTTAAATAAAACCCTATACTTGTCAACGTTTCTCAATGTTTTTCTGTATTTATTTCGAATATCCCACAGCTCACATGTAATGATTGGACTACTAAGCTACTGATACAAATGCGCAAAATGTAAAACAGAGTTTGAACAACAAGGCTCTCCAAATGGAAGAGACAATAATTGACCAAATAAAGGTACAACACTAACTTTTATGCCTTCGTTTGCGCAAAAGTCGAGCTTTTGTAAGCGAATGAAAGTAGCAACGCCGTCCTAATAACCACATAAACTTCCAGACGTGTTGCTTCCTATAGCAGGCAGAGGGGCGCAAAGGTTCTCGCCCATCAGTGACCCACCAGCAGTAGAGCGCGGTTTTATGACCTGGCCCGTGTTGCTCCCCCTTGATCATTAGTGAGCCGTTACACACCTATTCAGACATGAAAGAGCTGCCAGGTTAGTGTGTCTTACCGGGGCCCCGATGACAGCTGCATCCTCCTTGCTCGTGCGTATTTGCATCCATCGACTTCAGACAGCAGGACTTTATAGGCTAATTTGTTGATAATACTCCCTCCTAATGGACAAAAATAAATACTTTCTAAACATTTACTTAGTTATTCTCTGCAGATTTAGCTTCAAATTGCGTAAAAATGATATTTCTCTCAGGTCCCACTTTCTATCTGTCACTGTCTACCTCACACAGACACAAAATCAGCACCGTTATATACTGAACAAAAATATAAACGCAACATGAAATAATTTCACAACGATTTTACTGAGTTACAGTTCATATAAGGAAATCAGTCAATTGAAATGAATTAATAATTTCACATGACTGGGCAGGAGCGCAGCCATGGGTGGGCCTGGGAGGGCATAGGCCCACCCACTTGGGAGCCAGGCCCAGCCAATCAGAATGAGTTTTAACACAGAAAAGGGCTCTATTATACAGACAGAAATAATCCTCAATTTTATCAGCTATCTGGGTGGCTGGTCTCAAATGTAAATGATCCAGCAGGTGAAGAAGCCAGATGTCGTGGGCTGGCGTGATTACAGTGGTCTGTGGTTGTGAGGGCGGTTGGAGGTACTGCCAAATTCACTAAAACAAAGCTGGAGGCGGCTTATGGTAGAGAAATTAACATTACATTCTCTGGCATCAGCTCTGGTGTACATTCCTGCAGTCAGCATGCCAATTGCACGCTCCCTCAAAACTTGAAACGTGGTATTGTGTTGTGTGACCAAACTGCACATTTTAGAGTGGCCTTTTATTGTCCCCAGCACAAGGTACACCTGTGTAATGATCATTCTGTTTAATCAGCTTCTTGATATGCCACACCTGTCAGGTGGATGGATTATCTTGGCAAATGAGAAATCTTCACTAACAGGGATGTAAACAAATTTGTGCACAACATTTGAGAGAAATAAGCTTCTGGGATCTTTTATTTCAGCTCATGAAACATGGGACCAACACTTGACATGTTGCCTTTATATTTTTGTTCAGTATAAAAAAAAGTATACGTCTGTTTACCTTCTAGACTTTGGAGTACACCTAGACACACGTTTCCCATTCTGGCAATGACGTGTGAAAAGCCCAGATGTAACGATCTCCTTTCATTCCTTCATTAGAGAGGTCACATCAAACTGATAATTGTTGTCGTGCCCATCTAAAGAGCCATTTCCCACAAAAGAAAATCTAATTATTTTTCATTCTGTTACACATTATCCGTCTATTTCGCCTTATTGGCACCTCGGTGACAACGAACGACGTCCTTCGGGAAGGTCACATTTTGTCACTTGAGTTTTCTTTGAACTTTCGCTTCAACTGGGGACTCATAAACCACGGAGAGCTGTGTCCATATAAAACGGTTTCCCAAACCGCTTTTCAGAATTTGCTCTCCACGGAGCTGCCTGGATAGCCTATCATCGAGGTCACAGTATGGATAACGTGTCTGAGGATATTGCTAACATGGATTGTGACATTGAAGTTGTTACCTCGAAAATGCTCTCTGAATGGGATTGGAAGACGCAGGAAAGGGCTTTTGGGAACGGGCATGATTCTCTTGAGTCCACCTCACCAGAATCATCATTCGATTCGATGTGCTCTTCGCCCGAGATGTCCTCAAGCTCAACTGGGCATCAGAGCTTCGGAAATGTATCCTATGGCTTACCAGGACACAGCCCGACTCCGTGCGCAACGCTGAAACAAACCAAACCAAAGATGTCGACCAAGAGACGCATGAAGGCGAGCGAGAGGGAGAAGATGCGAATGAGGAGCCTAGCAGAAGCTTTGCACCAGCTCCGCGACTACCTGCCTCCAGATTACAGTAAAAGGGGACAACCTCTGACCAAAATTCAAACTCTCAAATACACCATTGAGTATATAAATGAACTTTCGGACATCCTCAACCACGCATAATGATGTGCGTAAAAGCTGGCCACGTTTTACATGATGCGTAACGAGGCCAAACTATTTGGTATTCGGTGTAGGCTATTGTCAAACTTTTTTTGTTTGGAAAACTATTTTTGTTTTGTTAATTTTGATACTGGTGCTATTATGGATGATAACTTAATTTCTCATATTGTATTTAGAATTGTTCTGCCCCTGATCTGATGTAAATAATTGTTATTCTGTGGGGACTTGACTTGACCATGTAATTTTCTTTTATGTGAATAGGCTATTATTGTTTTACATTATTGACATGAATTAAACAAACATTATAAACAAAATGTACATTTGGGGCCAGATTAATGTTATTTTCTTTTAACTCTGTGATGCCCATCATATTCAAATAGTATGGAGAGGATTCAAACATATATTTGATGTTAGTATTATGCCAATATTGTCCTCTTTATTTGCGATGTTTTCATCATATGACACAGGCAAAGCATAGGTCTGCATGACATACACTGAGTATACCAAACATTAAGAACACCTGCTCTTTCCATGACATAAACGGACCAGGTGAATCCAGTTGAAAGCTATGATCCCTTATTGATGTCACTTGATCCACTTCAGTCAGTGTAGATGAAGGCGGGGAGACAGGTTAAATAAGGCTTTTTAAGCCGAGACAATTGAGACATGGATTGTGTATGTTTGCCATTCAGAGGGTGAATGGGCAAGACACAAAATGTAAGTGTCTTTGAACAGGGTATGGTAGTAGGTGCCAGGCGCACCGTTTTGTGTCAAGAACTGCAACGCTGCTAGGTTTTTAATGTTCAACAGTTTCCCTTGTGTATCAAGAATGGTCCTGAGTCTGTGCACCGACGAATTGAGTTTATCAATAAATGTTCACAATTGCATGGCAAACATTTCACCAAACATTTGTTCGAAATATAAATGTTTCCTCTACCAATAAGAAGGTGCAAATTCTAAAGCGGGTATTACAAGAACAGCGGTTTTAGCCAATCAGAGAGCGACTCTATTTCCTGTGGGCGTAACTCTCACTACAACGTATCCTTCACGAAAAATCTGAGCCTTGGATGTAATCCGTTCGGCTGATGCCGCCATTTCAAAGCTAGATATAAGGACAGGGTATAGAATATAATTTTTTTTAAACATATTTATTTTCGCAAACCTTTTTATATTTTCATTTTATTTAGAGTAAGTATCTCTATTTAGTTGTATTTCTGGAACTCAATATTTTTCACTACCAGTGAGGTAAGCCATTGCTTCTGCATATTTTACAGCAACATCATTCTATTTATTCATTCCAGACCTCCGTATTTATCTGATGTTTCTATCCAGATTTGAACAACCACTGCACCTATCTGTTTCGTTATAAGTGTGATTCAGACAACCTTATCGAATGAAGGATTATAGACATGAGAAAGGTATCCTACTTTTTAATCAGCTTTTCTTGATAAGTGGAACATATTTCCCTGTTTATTACCTCACCAAAGCACCAAGTGATGTGCGCTTTCCACAGATGATGGTACTGTGCCTATTGATTTTGTGAAGTCGTGCAGAAGGAACATTGTGCACTATTTAAAATAAATAAATAAAGGCTATACACATTTTTCAGTAGGAAGCTAAAATAAAACATAAACCTTCCATTAATATTAGATTCTCATGGTCACAGTCTTGATGGTTGTGGGTGTAGGTAATGGCATTTGTAATCAGCTGCAGCTATGTTTAGTATATTTCCATGACGTTTGTCTGGACATAGCCTCCTAGGATATGTCAGCTATTGCATGTAAACAATGACAATCAGTTATGTAGGCTATTGTTGGAAATAACAGCATGTTTATTGACCCGTGGCAGGTTAATGAATTATAATCATTGAACTGCTAGTAGTGAATTGAAGGAGTTGCCTTTGACAAATGTTGTTTCCCTAGGTGTCCATAACCTGAAGTTAAATTGATATCCAAAGTTCTTATAGTACCTTAATATTACTTCTTATTATATATATATATATATATATGCAATTTAAGCTGGGCACTCTCCAAATGAGATGGTGCTGAATCACTGATGATAACTCAACTGTAATTTTGATAGCTGGATATCGTTTGTGTTTGCAAGATAGATGAACAGATTAATGAAGAATTTATGAGATATCGGGATGAATTTCCACACAAATCAATCAGAAACTCCATGATTACCAGCTTTATATCTCCCACAATTGCCACAGTATATCACAAGCCTCTGGACAGAAAGACAGGCAGACCCCCCCATATCTTTCATCTTGCCTTGGTCTGGTTCCTTGAGGCAGATTCTAAAATGTCACCACACAATGCAGTAG